AATTTAATAACTTTATCGCCAACACTTACATTAACATGATTTACATATAATATTTAATTATATTTTTGTTATTTTGATATTATCACCTTTCTTATTGTATCTACAGCTTAACCGATTGCTAAGTTTATTAGCATTATGAATTACGACAAGTTAATTAAGTTATTTAACTGATTTTGATGATACTAAAATTAAAGAGATCATATTAGTTATCTTATTTCGAACTTATTCTGATTATTATTCTGATACAATATACCATTTATCATAATTTTTTCCCACTCATTAAGATTATCGTGCGAATCTAATTATCAGTTCGTTTTTTTCATTAACAGTTTTTGTTCATTTGTCTGGTGTAATATAAATTAAATTCTAATAAGCAAACCATAAAGTATAAATTTTAGTACGAAATCGAATATAAAACTAAGTATAGCTCATTACATACTTCACACAACTGAATAGATTTTAACATTACAGATTAATGTCCCAAATATAATATAAACATATATTATAAAGTGGTTTGTTGTCAAAATTTTAGTTGGTTTTAGAACAGAGCAATATCGTAATCGTAACATATAGTACATGAATATTTATAAAAATAATAATATCTATTTTTAATTTTTTATGTACTACATATATTTATTAAAATTTAAGCAAAATATATATCACATAGTAGGGTGCCAATAATTATAATTGTCGTTGTCATGATTCGATGATACAGATGCGTTATATAAATTTTTTCAGATTTTTCTAAATGGTGAATATTACTAGTTTAAAAGTCTACAATCTTTTGAATGTTGAAATAATATTATTAAGTAATCATTAATTGTAATATTTGTAAATAACTGATAACGAAACATTAATAAAAATATTTTTATAATATATTAATAAAGAAGTTTCGAACAATAGTGAGCTACAGCAACAAAAATTATTTTATATATTATTTTAATTAATTGAATTTTTAACTGACCATACAGCTGTTTTGAATATTACCGAGTAGCCTTCATTAATAGTCTTGGAAATATCCTTGAATTTAATTATTTGTAAATCATTTTTTGAGACTGCAAGTACCAGGAATCGAACTCGTGTCCTGCCAAATTTGAAGCTCAGAGTCAGTGTTTATTAGCCAACTAACCCAAAGCTGTATTTGACTTTTATGTTCGCAATTTTTTCTGGTGTTTCGTTAATTTGCTGCGAAAATTTTATTAACAAATTCACTTGCTGTGTTTATATTAGAAAGAAATTAAGAGCCAGCTGTAGAATAATTGAATTTATTAATTATATATTTTTATTTTTAATTGTTAAATTTTAATACTATACTGTATATTTTTGTTATATATTGATAAAATTCATACTGCTAATTATTACTTGCAGTTTATAAGCGAGATTAATTTTTATTTTACTTAAATTTTTAAGCATATGATTTGATTAAACGCTAACATAATCTGTACTTAAATTAAAAATATAAATAAAATTTTGTTCAAGAGTTAATCTTTATTGTATTGCTATCAAATTTAGAAATGTTCTAAGGTTAATGGTAATCACTGATAATTAAAATAAAATCCTTCAGTTAAATTATTTATTTTTAGAAACTATTTAATTTGCCATTGTTTTTAGTCCTTAAATAATTTTTAAAAGACAAACAAATTATTTTAAAAATATTAAAAAGTAAATAAAAACTATTGCAAATTGTTTTTTTTTTTTTAATAATTTAATTGCTCTTTTAACATAAATTAATATTTTTTTTAAATGAAGCAAACAACTTTTTCAATATTTGACGCGCACAAATTACCGTGAGAAAACCATAACTAATTTACTCATCTGTCAAATGTTGATGGTGACTTTAGCTATACACCTGCATATTTAGATACATTGTATCCATAGACAATTTGTCAACATAATAAACATTAAACTTGACATTAAAATGTGTTAAATATGGTTTTGATTGATTTGCTTAAAATATTTAACTCTCAACAAAACTTTGTAACTAAAAATGTAATAAAAAATAAATTTAAAGAAATACACTTGTGTTAATATTAACTTAAGTATATATATAAATATTGAATAGAAATATTTTTTATTTGGTATATAATAAAATATGTTTTAATACAAATCAAATTTAACCTTAACTAAATAAAGTGTTTCCTTTGTTTTATCTCAATCTCTTACAGAAATGTCCAAATTCGTCGGTGTCTCCGATATAACAGAAAATAAGAAAATCTGGCGCGCACTGTTGGGTGAGCTGGTGGGCACATTTTTCTTGGTATTCATTGGCGTTGGCAGTTGTACTGGAGGAAACGGTTATACACCTTCAGTGCCACAGATTGCGTTCACCTTCGGCTTGACAGTTGCCACAATGGCACAGGTAAACAATAATGAAATCAAACAAATCATAACAAATACCAAATGTTTGCAGAAAATAAATGGCATATGAAATCAAAGCTCATAAGTTAGTAAAATAAGAAAAAATTATCACAAATAATTTGCAGTTTCAACAACTCAAAAACAAGGTTAAAAACACATCGAAAAATTAAAAGCACATTTATGGCATATTCATCATGAGTTATGCGTTTTAACGCATTTATGAGAAGCCTTCGCACGATTTCTTACTATGAAAACTTAGCCATAGAACCATTCTAATTTCATTTTAAAAATCCAGTAAATTGAAAAACAAAAAAAAGATTGAAATAACTTTTAGCTGCTAAAGTGGCGACTTGAACTCCATTTGAAATATCAGTCAACAGCCTACAATATGTGGTTAGTAAAGCAGCATATTTAGGCCTAAACTGCATACTCAAAAGACATTGGCATTTACTTTTATACTTGACAAACGAGTAAAATCATAAAACATAAACTTAAACCAATATGAGATATAAGAAAAAAAAAACTAAATATTTATACTAATCATAATGATAAATAAAATTTGTATGCGCAGAAAATCCGTGAACAAATTTACGCACATGAATTATAATCCAAAGCAAATCTTAAATATTCCAAAGTCATTGCGTGCGCATGTGCAACTTGCAGTTTGCACTTTTGCAAGTGTGAATTGCAATTTTTCATTTGTTTATTTTTTTCTAATTTTTAATTTGTTTATTTGCAATTGACTGATTTACAAATTAACGCTTGAATAGAGCATATCTCAACAATCAAAGATACTCACAGTAGGATTACGAATTGCAGTGCAGACACAAAGGCGGACGGACGGACAGAACGGATGTTTAAACATTCATGCCTGTTTGATTGCGGCTTAAAACCGACTTGAATGCAATTTAAATTCACAACTTAATATAATAAACATTTGCAAAAGCAACTGAAATGCACTTCATCTAAGTCAAGTAACGCACTTTTCAGTTGTACTCCATGATTGGCTTACACTGCATCTTGTGGATAATTACTATGAGCTGAGCAATGCGTTTGAGCTATAATTAAAAGCAATCAACGCTTCAAGTTATGCAATTAGTAGTTATGTTTTTTAATTATTTGCGTGGCGTTTATGCGAATTTAATCTTTTTTCTTGCCATTTAATGGTAGTCATTTATAGAACCCCCCCAAAAAAACTGTAATGAATAACAAACATTTAGAGTTATAACAAAAATATCTCAATGAACTATTCATTTTTGATTTTATTAATTATATCAACCTTGGTAAATTACAAGTACCTTTACTCATTTACTTAGTATGAAAATAGAAGCCTCACTAATATGAATAAATGCATAGTTGCATTACTATGTATATTAATTACCATATTAATCATTTGTATATAATCAACATACTATAACAAAAATATTCAACAATTAAGAAAAAGCATATAGTAAGATTGTTTTTTTTGTGATAAAGAAAAAATTCGGTTTTCACATGTTCATAATTTAAGTCCTTAAGAGACTACACTTTGCTAACATTACTATCAGGGAAAATAATGCTGATGATTCGTACGAATTATTATTACATCGTACGAATAATATTAATCATTTTAACTAACACAATTATTTCTATAAAAGACTTAATTGCATAAATTAATGTTTTATCCCTTTTAAGAAATTTTAGCGCAGCCTAAGAATAAGAATTGTTGTTCTAAAGGTTATAAATATGGAAGCAAAAAAATGTAGTAAGGTTTTGCTTGTAAAATGTAAGCTATTCACAAAAAATTTGCGACGAGAGATTTATCTATTTCATAATAACTACAAACCCAATTTATTTATCTGGTACATACCTTAGGTTAGATTAAAGTGGTAACTTTGTACATCAAACCACATTTGAGCTGAAATAATGACCCGCTCAGATACCAGGATTAATGTTGTTCATACACAAACAAGAAGGTCCATCAAAGGATCATTAAAAAGTATAGCGTCCCTATTTAAATGAAAGTAAATCAACCTGATAGATCTACAAATGTGGCTACATCACTAATTTTACAGTATGATAAGCACAGCAGGTCAGTAAGAAAAGTGGTCCCAAAGTTTTTTAATCTTCTATTGGTCAGAGATGAGTATCAAAAACGAAGGTGAAACACGGATTTCTACTCTTCTTCAAAGTCACAGCCACCACAAAAGCCATTACACGGTAAACCAAGTATTTTACTATTTTTTATTAGTACACAGTGACCTATCAGCATTGCCAAATTAGGGCTGAGCTGATTTCGCTTCAGTTGAAACACCTGACTAGTATGTTTTTTTCTTGAGTTTGAACCAAGAAAATATTGAAATTTGACATGATTTTTTATTTGAACAAAATTTACTTTTACCTATATTTCAGAAAACAGAGTGCTTAATCTATAGTAAGCCTAATGCCCCTGTTTGCAGGTACCCAATGAAATTGTATCGTTTAGAGAAGTCCAGCATTCTGAAACGATTAAGCATATACGTATTAATGATACATAGTTCTTTAGAGAAGTAA